GACAAATGAGACCGAAGTGTTTTGTTTACAGACGGTGTGCTCTGAAGTGTCTTCTGGTTCTAGCAGGGACGCCTGTGAGGCTGACTCCTTCTCCCTGGACCCTCTGCTTTCCCCGCCCCACAGCCCCGACGTCCAGCCAGCACCACCTGTAAATGCTGAGGACACAGGCCGCGTGCAGAGCGAGGACCCTGTGCAAAGCCAAGGCCCCTCTTACTGGGCTGGGCGACTCTGGGCCCTCTCTAGCCTCAGAAAGGGGCTACTGGCACCCACTCTGGTTACCTCTGAAGGGTTTTGTGAAAACCACATGTTCCAGTTTATACAGAAGTCATCTGCATACTGGGAAGCAGTGAGTACTCACAGTACACTGCGCCCCCAGCTCCTTTCCCCGGCTGTGCCTACCTTGCAGTGCACCTGGGACACTTTCTCTAACCCTCCCCTCATTCCCTCCCCCGGGGTCCTGGAGTTGGTGCAGACCAGCCGTGTCCCCTACACCTTCCACATGTACACTGGGGGGTGGGGGACTGGGGACCATTCCCAGGGCGACCCTAGGGCTGCGGGTCCTAAACTGTCAGAAAAAGAGCTCAATTAATTTTCCCCAACTCAGGGACAGTATTGCTCTATTCCCATGGCACAAAGGGAAGCCGATACATCTTATAAAGCCTTCTATCCTAAAAATCAGGATTAAGGCGGTTTGCCTAGCATTCAACTCCGCACCGAAGTCTTACTGCGACAGCTAGTACTGCTGAGAAATGTGGGCAAAGGCCGATCAAGCTGGGTCTCAGTTCTGCTTCTTGAATTCAGCAACCATGTCACGCTAATTCAGAACTGCTGCTCCGCACACAGATCTCCCTCTTGAGGTGACACCTGTCTGAGGACAGGATTCTGCTTGCCTTTTTTATCCTTCCTTAATGCTTAACGGAAAGACTGAGCTGGCCTGGGATGTAAGATGCAGTTTTACTTTTTACTATGGAGAATTTCTAATATACACAAAAGTAGACAGAGCAGGATAATGAATGCCCATGTGCCCTCACCCAGCTGCAAGCTGGGTCCAGCCCGTCTCATCCTATGAGACCCCTGTGGAAAGGGAAGCCCCTTCCCTCTCAGTGGAGGTGCTGAGCAGGGGCACCTGTCCCATCAATTCTGCAGCTAGTCTTTAAAGTGCAGCATTGCCGCCCGAGCCAGTTTGGCTCAGTGGATAGAGAAACGGCCTGCAGACTGAAGGGTCTCGGATTCAATTCCGGTCAAGGGCATGTACCTTGGTTGCAGGGTTCAACCCCAGCCCAGGTGGAGGCCTGTGCAGGAGGCAGCCAATCAATGTGTCTCTCTCACATCGATGTTTCTCTCCCTCTGTCTCTCCCCTCCCTTCCACTCTCTTTAAAAATCAATGGAAAAAATATCCTCAGGTGAGGAGTAACCAAAGTGCAGTGTTGCTCTGAAGTTTAAATGCCATTTTAAAAATGTTTCTCCCTCTGATCATTAAGGTGTTACATATAGAGTGCAGAACACTGAAAAGAAAATGAAAAGTCTTTCAAAGAAATCACCTGTACCTTCACCACCATGATACAGCCGCTGTTAACAAGTGTCCATTTCCCGCCAATTTTTTAACTGTAGGCATGTATGTACATTATTGTTATTTGCCCAGCCGGTGTGGCTCAGTGGTTGAGCGTCGACCTATGAACCAGAAGGTCACAGTTCAATTCCCAGTCAGGGCACGTGCCTCGGTTGCCGGCTCGATCTCCAGTGTGGGGAGTGTGATCCCCAGTGTGGGGTGCTCGGAAGGCAGCCGATCCATGATTCTCTCTCATCATTGATGTTTCTATCTCTCTCTCCCTCTCCCTTCTTCTCTGAAAACAATAAATACTTAAAAGTTAAAATAAATAAAAATGGGAATTGAGATAACAGAATCCAAGAGGTGGGTCCCTAAACCCAATGCCTGCAGAAGTCAGGAAGATGGGAGAAGTGGCCTGTGAAAGACTGGGGCGGGGGCGGGGGAGTGCTGCTATGTGGGCATCCAGTTGTCGGGTCTCCAGGTGCAGCAAAAGCCTGAAATCCAGACATTCCAACATGTGAAATCAGACTTTTAGATGCTCGCAGCTAATCCAGGTATGGTTTAACCGTGGGCCAAGCAAACTTGGCTGTGTGGGCTTTGCTCTGCGGGCCTCCAGTTTGAGACTTCCCGGCCTGGGGTTTATGTTGCTTTTCCACATTGCTGACTCACAGGCATTTCCCCTACCGGTCGCCTCTGAAAGCATGTTCTTTTCAATTTCCATCAAGTGGACGTGCCATCATTTGCATACTCATTCTTCTACCCCTGGCTTTACAGAAGGGTTCCAGGGATTCTTAAAAGAGCACCAATCCACCCAATGCCATCCCTCCACATTCCTGGCAGCCTCTGCGAAAAGCAAACTCACCTCTTCTTTGGGAGCTGAATTTTTGCAATGTAGCTGAGACAGTAGTTGATTAAGTCTTGGATTAGGGCCTCACCCAAGTGACCTTGGATACTCTAGGATAAAGAAGACACTGGAATTACTTCATCAGTGGGAGGCACTTTTAAAATGATCGTCAGCCACTGTCAGTCAGGGTCACCCGGCTGATGTGGCAGCGAGGATGACGCCTCCACCACCTTTTCCCTTCTTTCCCTTTGTTCTCTGGTTGAGACCCTAAGGCAGTGATGGCGAACCTATGACATGCGTGTCAGAGGTGACACGCGAACTCATTTTTGTGGTTGATTTTTCTTTGTTAAATGGCATTTAAATATATAAAATAAATATCAAAAATGTAAATCTTTGTTTTACTATGGTTGCAAATATCAAAAAATTTCTATATGTGATACGGCACCAGAGTTAAGTTAGGGTTTTTCAAAATGCTGACACGCTGAGCTCAAAAGATTCGCCATCACTGCTCTAAGGCAAACCGGAAAGGGCTCAGTCAAAAGCATGTTTTGCTTCCTTAGTCAAGATTTCTGTATTCATTATCTTTCAAATGCTTCATGGAAGGCTCACAGAGTTTATTGGTGCTGCTTTTATTCAATCAAAATACACAAAATATATTTGTTCCACTGTGGCTTTCTCAGATATCGTATTTGAACAGAATGATCTTAATATTGACAAGAGTATTAAGTACATAGAACTTCTTAATACGCTTGTAGTGAGGGCGTTTGACTCAGCCTCTGCTATCACAACAGAAATATTAGATTAAGTATCCTTAAAAAACAATTATAAAAATATAGATAACAATTTGGAATATGTAACAGTTCCATGATTCAACATTCCAAATGTAAAAATATACAGGGCGAAGATTCATTCCCACCCTGTTCCTCATCCCCAGAGGTGGCCGTGTCAAATACCTTTTTGGAAAACATTTCACTAGTAGTAGACAGCGGTTCAGTAGTTGGATACTCAAGAACCCACCTGTTTACACAAGAATTTCCCATCTTTGTACGCCACCAAGCCATTTTCTGGAAACACATAATCATACTTTTCAACCACTGCAACCAAAACAAAAGAAAACTCAGAATGCAATGAATGGGAACTTGTGTTTCTATGTCTTGATCAACACGTATACCAATAAAACTGCTGAACTCCAGTGCGGGCTCTGAAAGAACACCTCATCTTCACAGACTGGGAGAGTGAGAAAAAGCTCCATTAAGTTTATTTTTTTTAAGGCTCTTCATTACATATTTAAAATATGATCACTAGGCTGGAGATGGGAGACTTGGTGACGGGCCATGTCATGCCTCTGCCTTCAGCCTGCCTGTCTGTAAAGGAAGATGGAAGCCAACGATGGCTCCCAAACCTCCTGGGAATTAGCATCACCAACACGATGAAACTGTGGGGACTTCTAGGCTCTGCTTTCTGAATCAGACTCTGCCGGGGCCAGGCTAAAAATCAGATTTAAAAAAGCTCTTTAGGTGGTTCTTATATGTAGTCAGATTTGGAGACTCTACACACCCAAATCGAAATGAATTCTCCAACGTTAAGTGCTGTTAAAATGCGGATTCCCAGGCTCAGTGCTGGGGGTATTTTAATGAACTCCCCAGGTGATTTTGACACAGGTGGGTCCTAACTTCCTTTTGGCTTGTCAATGTTTTGATTCTGTTGTTTTGACTCACTGAAAAGTATGGACACTGTCCTACACTGACACAACACCCCTGAGCCTGTGGGTAAATATATGACTAGAGGCAGAAAGGGCAATCGGGACCAGGTAGCACAGTTTCCAGGCTTAATGTGCTTACTATGTTGTTTAGTTTCTAAGCAGAGCACCTAGAAGGAAAATTAAGGTAAAGGGAACAGAGAGTTTAAAAGGAATACAGAGATTGCTCTCTATTGGTCCAGGAAACACAGCCTGCTCAGGTTTGGACGGTAGGTATTACATCTAGAACAGTGGTTCTCAGCTGGAGGTGACTTTGTCTCTAGAGGACATTTGGGAATGTCTGGGGACATTTAGATTGTTACACTGGGGGTGAGGGTGCTACTGGCATCAAGTGGGCAGAGCCAGGGACCCTGCTAAACATCTGCAGTGCACAGTCCACGACAGAGAATTGTCTGGGCCAAATCATAGCAGATTAGATACATTAGAATGTAGCTTTAGTTAGTTATGAAATTAGCTCTTCTTAAGAGTTATAGCTGCACTGGAATGTATTCATGTCCTGGGGCCTGTAGCCTGCCTGTAAAGCAAGTTGCAAAATGTATATATGTCTCCTTAAGATAACAGAGAAGGGCCCTGGCTGGGAGGCTCAGTTGATTGGAATGTCATCCCGTAAACCAAAAGATTGCGGGTTCAATTCCTGGTCAGGACACATGCCTAGGTTTTGAGTCTGATCCCAGTCAGGGCATGTACGGGAGGCAACCAATCGATGTTTCTCTCTCACATTCATGTTTCTCTCTCTCTCTCTCTTTCTCCATTCATCTCTCTAAAATCAATTAAATAAAAGATAACAGAAGAATATAACCTGTTAAGCATGAAATGTACAGCTCTGTTCTTTTCTTTCTGCTCTTAAGATCATGTCACTGACTCACAACCCCAAGATGTCTTACAGACCTCCCCTGTTCAAGACCCGGACAGGATGCCACCAGGACAGGATGCCAGTCAGAGTGCTGAAGCTTGCGTAGGCACTGACCATCGACACAGCCCACAACCCTGGACTCTTTACTCACGATTACTCATGATTTCTGCTCTATAAAACCTCTTGTCTGTAAACCATCGGGAATTCAGATTTTCCAGCACAAGCTGCCTGGTCCCCCTGTGTAGTGCTATACAATAAACACCAATTTCTTTCCCTGCACCCGCGTCAGAGTAATTGGCTATATCTGCAGTGCTGAGTGGATGGAACTCCGCTTGGTTATAAAAACGTCAACAGTGATGAAAAGAATGATCAATTCATCTACCTTTCCACCCACTCTTTCTTATAGGCCAGGCACCCGGGAGGCCTTGGGGCTACGAGATGAATAATCCACAGCCCTAGTCTTCAAGACAAATTTAAAACCAGACAGTTTCCAAAAATCAGGGAGTGCTACAGCAGCAGGCCGGGCATTAGAAGCTCTTGGGTAGCTGCTAAAATACTTCTCCCCAGTAGACTTACTGAGTCACTGGAAGTGAAAGCCCATGAGAATCGCCAGCTTCCTGGGGTCCTGTGCTGGGGATTATGGTTCAGTAGGTGGGGGAGGAGTCTGGCTGACTCATGACTAAGGGAACTCTGGGGAACACTGAGTTAGGGCAACAGAGAGGAAGCCCCTAGACCCAGAGGGCACCTCACAGCTGGGTGAGGACAGTCAGGAGACAGGGCCTGAGCTGAGGCTACAGGGCAGTGGATGGGACAAGAAGTATGACAGGCAAAGACTCAGATGAATCTACCCATGAATTTGCATACCAAGTGTTCCATCAGCAACTCCAGAAATTTATTTACAGGATGAAAAACGGGAAAACAAAGACAGAGAGCATGTTCCCCCAACAAGGAATCAGGGATGAGGGTTCAGGGCTAGTTATGATACTCCATGGCTACGGGTTTCAATATTGTCATAAGAAGTTACTCTTTTATCAAAAATGTAATTAGCAATGTATAACTCACCATCATTTCCCAGCTGCTCCTGCACTTTCTCAAAGTCCGAGCCGCCTACCACTCCGATTTTGACCTTCTGCCTCAATTTTTGTAGAAAGTCATCCATTTCTTTGGTAATTTTCTGCATTTCACAAAGGAAAATACAATTTATGAGCCATAAAGTAATCAGGAGACTAAAATTGAAAGAATAATAGAATCTTTACTTGCATACATGCCAATTTCATTTCTAGGTCCGTAGACAAGTCCAAATATTTCATCTATAATTTGGAGACATCAACTTTTTACCAGAAAAAACTTGTTAAATTTTACTCATTTTTACCTCATTTAAAACACACAATATATTAACAGCTGTGTGTACTGTTCAGTTATTTTCTATGCATTTATATACTTGGCTACATGCATATACATATATAAGTAGGTCTCATTTTTTAAAACACAAGTGGACTCAATCTAAGTCTTTTGCAGTGACGTGTGTTTTCATGTGGTGCTCATTCCATGCCACACACAGATCCAGTACTTCCTTTCAAATGCTATATTTATGGATTTAAGTTGTTGACTAAAACAAAATAACATAATCAGATTATAGAGGAAGTTTAGATTTGGTTTATTATAATTATACAAAAAAAACCCTAAAAGATAACTAGATTTTTTTAGTCTTTCCTACAAGAAATGCTCCTATCTATAAACAGGTTTCAATGGTAATAGTTTATACTTGTTAAATCCCAAACTGTGCTAGTTCAAGAGAAATTATAAACTAAGATGAAAAGATCCCTGTATTAACACAAATCATAATGAATTTTAAAAAGTCTGATATCACCTGGCCAGTGTGGCTAAGTGGTTGAGTGTCGACCTATGAACCAGGAAATCACAGTTCAATATTCGGTTAGGGTACGTGCACGGAGTGCGGGCTCGATCTCCAGCAAGGGGTGTGCAGGAGGCAGCCTATTAATGATTCTCTCTCATCATTGCTGTTTCTCTCTCTCCTTTTCTGAAATCAATAAAAACACATTTTTTAAAAACAGTCTTATATCATTACTTTTAGTAATCTTAATTGTACATGTATGAGGCAGGATAGTAAGAAGCTAGGGAAATTCCTTGCCAAGTGGAATAAGGGAAACTGAGACAAAATAATTAAACAAGGCCAACTGATTTGATCAATGAATCACAAGGTTTTATCTTCTCTAACCAAGGATACTTAAGAACAAATGGGTTACACATTCCAGACTGTCCTGGGGGGCAGACTGGCCTCAGTCCTGGTCCCTCTTCTATGACATTTTTTAAAAATGAAAATAACCTGGAAATAACCTTGACCCCTTTATACCACATTTTGATGAATCAACATATTGAAGGACACATCTGGGAAACTAATGAATATTCTGTTAAGACCCTCCCCTAAAGATTCCCATCCAGCAAAAGAAAGATAAAAAGTCTCAAGACCAGGGACCCACGGTGCACTCTCTCTACCGCATGCCCATGCCTTTCTCCCTTAGGCATGTATCTCTGCTCTCTTCTGAACTCTAAGGGTGCCCACAAGACTGCAACTAGGGGAGCTGTGGGCAGCAGCAGCTCATCGCAGGCTCACCCCCTGAACCTGTGTCCAGGCCCCATTTTCTCTGACTTCCCAGTGAGCTAACAGCAGCCCCACCTTGACTCCCTTCTGTTGCTGTGACTTTTACTTCTTAGTGAGTTCCTGCAGCCCAGCGTGGCCCACTTCTTTCCTAGAACATTTCTAAAAGCCAAAGCAGCCTTCTCTTCTGTTGCCTCTTCTATCCTAAGCCCTTCCTGTTTCACTGTCCCAGATTTAATAAACATACTCTCAAAATCACTTGGATGCATTTGTTAAATCTTTCCTGCATGAAGTCAAGAAACCACACACGACTGGCCACCCCAGGCAGACCCACTCCAGACCCAGTCCTGTCCGGTAACACTTACATGGAATATCTTTCAAACATAGTTACCAGAAATTAAAAACAAACCACTTAAGTCAACTTCAGTATATAAACATTTAGAGCTAAATCCTCTTTTTCTTAAAACAATTTTTTTATAGTACATACATATGATTAATCAAACAGAATTGTACAGAAGGGCTTAAATGAAGTGCAATCTTTTTTCCATCTTCCTGTGGAATCTTGACCTAGCAGACAAAAATCTAGAACTGCAATAGCAGCATCGATGAGTCGATGACCATGAAAGGAGTTCCTGAGGCCCCCAAGTGGATTGCTCAGTCTTGACGTCAGAATGGGAGGAAGTGGGGAAGACTCTGATTGCAAAATATTAAACATGCAATATTAATAATAACAGCAGCATCAATACTTCCATCTTCAAACAGAAGCCTTGTACACATTGATGAGCTAAATGGTATTGTGGTCAGCAGTCAGACCTGTTCTGCAATGTGAATGGGTTGTAAAAGGTGCCTTTTCACTTCCAAGTGGCAGCCAATATTTTTTACCAGGAAATAAGATAAAGCTGCTTGTGACCACAACAGAGCATCTAAACCACATCCCACTGAAGGACAGATCTTTAAAAAAATGTTTACACACACACACACACACACACACACACACACACACATATCACACACACATATCCTATCTAATAAAGAGGAAATATGCTAATTGACCCTCACATCATCACAAAGATGGTGGCGCCCACAGCCAATAGAGGGAATATGCTAATTGACTGCCTCACCCTCAAAGAGGGCGGCACCCACAGCCAATAAGGTGGGAATATGCTAATTGACTGCCCTGCCCTCAAAGATGGTGGTCCCCACAGCCAATAAGGAGGGATATGCTAATTGACTGCCATGCCCTCAAAGATGGTGGCACCCAGTCCCCTCAGCCCTGTTGGAGCAGCAGGTGTGGCAAGGCCCCACCCACTCCCAGGCGGACCCGGCCACTCCATGCGCCTGCCTCTGGAGTCCCCCAGTCCCCTCAGCCCCCAGCCACCCGGGGCCAGCCCAAGGCAAAGGCAAGCCTCGGATGTTGGCTGCCCAGCCGCCTAAGGCCATCGCCTTCCCCTGATCGCTGGGTCGCCTCTCACCCCTGAGGGCTCCCGGACTGTGAGAGGGGGCAGGCTGGGCTGAGGGACCCCCTCCACTGCATGAATTTTCATGCACTGGGCCTCTAGTCTTATGTAATAAAAGGCTATTATGCAAACTGACTGAATGGCAGAACGACCAGTCGCTATGATGCACACTGATCACCAGGGGGCAGACACTCAACGCAGGAGCTGCACCCTCGTGGTCAGTGCACTCCCACAGGAGGAGCACCACTCAGCCAGAAGCAGGGCTCACGGCTGGCGAGCGCAGTGGCAGTGGTGGGAGCCTCTCCTGCCTCTGCATCAGCGCTAAGGACCCCTCGGGGGATGTCCGACTGCCAGCTTAGGCCCGCTTCCTGTGGGGAGTGGGCCTAAGCTGGCAGTTGGCCATCCCTTGAGGGGTCCTGAACTGTGAGAGGGTGCAGGCCAGGCTGAGGGATGCCCTACCCCCAATGCACGAATGTTGTGCACCAGGCCTCTAGTGTGTGTGTGTGTGTGTGTGTGTGTGTGTGTCTGTATATTTAAATATATTTTTATCGATTTCAGAGAGAAAGAGAGGATAGAAATATCAATGATGAGAGAGAATCATTGATTGGCTGCCTCCTGCACACCACTGGGGATTGAGCCCGCAACCAGGCATGTGCCCCTTACTGGAATTGAACCCAGGACCCTTCAGTCCTCAGGCCAACACTCTATCCACTGAGCCAAACCATGTAGGGCAGGACAGATCTTTAGAGCAAAATTATTGTGATGTTACCAAATAACGCTGTGTTGCTAATTACGAGGAACTCTTTATCCATCACCCTAGACAAAATAAAACACAGAACAAGATCCAAAAGCTTGAAATTAAGGTGGAAAAATGTTAAAAACTCACCTTCTGGGGAAAAAAGACTCTTTTGGGACAATTAAGGAAAAGTGAATGGAACAGAAGTGTCGACAAAATGGGAACCATGGGCCACAATGAGCCATTGCCTGTTTTTCTGGAAGGTCTGACTGGAACAGCTATGTCAGCGTCCACCCATTTGTGTAGTGTCTGTGGCAACAACAAGAGTTGAGTAGTTGTGACAGAGACCACATGGCCTGCACAAAGCCTCAACTATTTATTTATTTATTTATTTATTTGTTTATTAAGCCGCAACTATTTACTACCTGGCCTTTTACAAAAGAAGTTTGCCAACCCTTGGACTAGGGCAGGGGTGGGGAACGTCTGGCCCTCGAACCATATAAGGCCCTTGAAATCATTTGGTCTGGCCCTGCCAAGGCATTAGGGGTGAGTTAATCAAATGTTTGACCAAATATAGCAGGCTAATTTTTAAGTTGATAAATTTTGTATGGTCCGCAAATGATGTTATAAATATCTAAATGGACCTTAGCAGACAAAAGGTTCCCCACCCCTGGACTAAGCACTACTAGGGAATTGGTGAGTTTTCTTAGGTGTGATGATGATACTGTGGTTACGATAGATGTTCTGTCCTCTAGAGATGCAAGCTCAAATTTTAGGGGTGAAGTATGATTACTGCAGCCTAGGAAATGGTGCAGCAAAAATTAAAAAATAAAAGAAAATGAAGTTAATGTCAATTATTGTTGAAATTAAGTGGCGGGGATTTGGCTGTTCTGTGTACTACTTTTCCAGTGGTTCAGTATATTTTAAATTTCTCATGACAGAAAGTTGGAGAACAATTCACCCAAATTTAAGCCCCCCTTCTTTTGCAGGCTTTTGTTCTAAGTCTCAACTATTTTTATTTTTTAATTAAACATATTTTTATTGATTTCAGAGAGGAAGGGAGAGGGAGATAGAAACATCAATGATGAAAGAATCATTGATCGGTCGCCTCCTGCACACCCCACACTGGGAATCGAGCCCGTAATCCGGACATATGCCCTAACCAGGAATCAAACCTTGACTTCCTGGTTCATAGGTTGATGCTCAACCCTGGCCGGGCAAATCTCAACTGTTTTTAGATGAAATGGCATTTCTTAGGAAAGTACTCAGTACAACAAATTCTACTAAAACAGTGAAATGTGCAAAGCTCTGGACTCCATTCTAACTAGAGTTTACCTGTTTAAATCATATCCTGTTTCAGCAGCTCCAAGAAAAGATAACCCATTCTTCTACTTCCTTGTGCTTATCAACATGTGAATGCATTTATTGAGGAAGGAAAAAGTTGGATAATGAATAGATCTGTTACGAAAAATTTCTTATTTTTAGCTCGAGTACCCAGCACATAGAAACAATTATTTTTTAAATGACAATTTTTTTGAGGATTAAACTGATTTATGTTCACTGCAAAGAATATCATGCTTCCAATGTGGGTTGCCTGGTTGCCATTTCATACTTTACGCTTATATAACCTGATTCCTTCTGAGAATCAAAAGCACTTTCCCGAATGGCACGTCGCTTCTACCTTAGAAAAATGGCAGAAAATGGTAAACTTAGTAAATACAATGCTCTGAAGCTCAGAGACTGGTACCAGATCTGCTGTGTGAAATCAAGACAATCTCTTTTTTTGTATTAAAATTTTTATTTTTCAATTACAATTCACATTCAATATTGTATATACATTAGTTTCAGGTGTCCAGCACAGTGCTTAGTCATTCATATAATTTATGATGTCATTCCTCCAACAAGTTTCATTCAATCATGTGGTACCAGTCATAGTTATTACAATATTATTATATTATTAATAACAACTATTATTCCTGAAGCTGTACTTTACATTTCTCTGACTATCCTGTCACTATAATCACTTCACCGTTTTCACCATCAAGATGATCTTGAGTCTTGGTTTCCTTATATTTAAAAGGATAGTAGCCCTGGCCAGTGTGGCTCCATTGGCTGAGTGTTGTCTCGTGTACTGAAAGGATGCTGTTCGATTCCCAGTCGGGGCACATGCCCAGGTTGTGGGCTTGATCCAATGTCGGGGGTTTATGCAGAAGGCAGCTGATCGATGTTTCTCTCTCTCCCCTCGTCCCTTCCTCTCTCTCTCTCTCTCTAAAAAAAAAAAAATCAATAGAAACATTAAAGAATAGTAACAACTATTCTATTTAGGATAAAGGTTGAGAGCATGCAAATATAGTGTGTAAAAAGGCTTAGGATGTAAACCCTAGACCCGTGGTCGGCAAACGGCAGCTCGTGAGCCACATGTGGCTCTTTGGCCCCTTGAGCGTGGCTCTTCCACAAAATACCACGTGCAGGCGCGCACGTACAGTGCGATTGAAACTTCGTGGCCTATGCGCAGAAGTCGGTATTTTGTAGAAGAGCCGGTATTTTGTGGAAAAGCCACGCTCAAGGGGCCAAAGAGCCGCATGTGGCTCGAGAGCCGCGGTTTGCCGAGCCGCAGTTTGCCGACCACTGCAGACAATTACAGCCAATGGACCCCACTGAGCAGCTGTGTGTTTTTGTAATAAAGTTTTACTGGAACACGAGCCACGCTGTGTCTACATATGGTCTATGGCTGCTTCTGCATTAAAGTGGAGTAGTTACTACAAACCATATGGTCGGCGAAGACAAGAGTATTTGCTCTCAGACTCTTGACAAACAATGAGTGGCTAACCTCGCTCTAGACCACTAGGGGCTTTTAACAACCCACAAGTGCGGGCCAATCTCTGATCTCAGAGTCCAAAGGGGCCTCTGGAGAACCTGCAGTTGGGTGTCTTCACTAGGCACAGGGAACATGGGGCTCGGAAAGGTAGAACGACATGTGTGAGGCCACACACACTTGATGTGGAATTCTGAAGCCACCACTGCTACCACCTGGCCAAAATCAGCGACAGAACTTGGAGACAGGGAGGCCATCTGGGCCTCAAGTGGATCGGCTGGTGCTGGGTGATCCGTTTGCAGGAGGAGGAGGAGGAGGTCAGAGGGAGCTGCATCACAAACGTGGATCCTAACTGAAACCTGTCTGTGCCCGCAGCAGCAAAATCTGCAAGTGCGAGGCAAGTCCAGGGAGGCTCGCAACAGGCAGCCTGTAACAATCTAGGTCTCTCCCTCTCTTTTTAAAAAAATATATATTTTTTAAAATATATTTTATTGATTTCCTACAGAGAGGAGGGGAGAGGGACAGGAAGTCAGAAACATCGATGAGAGAGAAACATCGATCAGCTGCCTCCTGCACGCCCCCCACTGGGGATGTGCCCGCAACCAAGGCACATGCCCTTGACCGGAATCGAACCCGGGACCCTTGAGTCCGCAGGCTGACGCTCCATCCACTGAGCCAAACCAGTCAGGGCTAAAAAAATATTTTTATTGATTTCAGAGAGGAAGGGAAAGGGAGAGAGCAAAACATCAAGGATGAGAGAGAATCATTGATCGGCTGCCTCCTTCACAACCCCAGCCACCCACCCACAACCCGGGATGGAGCCTGAAATCCAGGCGTGTGCCCTGACCGGAAATCCAACTGTGACCTCTAGGTTCATAGGCCGACGCGCAACCACTGCGCCACACCGGCCGGGCCCATCTAGGGCTCTTTGATCACCCAAGACCCACTGCAGGGGCTGGAGAAGAGGGTGATGGTGCTGGCTGACATTTACGGACTATTACTGAACAGAGCTTACTGTAAGCCAAGATACTTTCATGAACTTATTTGATTTCATTCGACCCTCACAAACCCTATGGCGCAGGTAAGTCCCCATTGAACACACAGATGCTGAGGCTCCGAGGCTAAAGGCACAGGTGTCAGGAGGAGAAGCGGAGACTCTGCTCGGTCCGTTCGGCCGAGGAACCTGTTTTCCACATCAGGGTGCGGGGCACGTCCCACGGATGATAGAATGAGGAGGCACATCGCTGTCAGGGGCAGCGCGGTGGTCCAAACCGAGGGCTTACGGCGCGTCCAGAACTGCATTTCCCACCCGAAGACAAGTTTCTCCCTCTCAGGAGTTTTCCGGCCCATCCCCTACCTCCAGCAGGTGGGCGGTCCTCCGCCGCCCCTCGGTGCGCACCCTGGGTGGTCGCTGGCCCCGTCCGGGGACCGCGGGAGACCCTGCACCCGCCGCCTCCAGCCCGCAGGGCGCCGCCTACCTGCCGCGGGGCCGTCAGGGTCCCGTCCACGTCGAAGAGGCAGAGCGCGGGGCCCGGCGCAGCCATGTCTCCGGATCCCAGGACGCAGTTGACGTGGAGCGTCAGCACCTGGAGCTCGGCACCGGGCTTCCGGGCCCAGCCTCCGTGCTGCAGGGCACGCCGGGAGGAGGAGAATCCACTCCCACCAGGCCCGGGCTGGCGTCTGCGGTTCCATCCGGACTACAGATCCCAGAATGCAATGTTCCGCACACAGGCCCCTTCCGGCCGAGCATGCGCCTTTAGGGATCCGGCTGCAGGTGCGATCCGGAGGCTCCGGCGGGCCATGGTAAGGACGCGGAAGCTGGGGACTGAGGGAGGTGATGTGCTTTTGGGGTCCAGGTCAGGCCTGTGATTCGCAGGGTGCGCGGGAGAGACCTTAGCGTGGGTTACACAGCGTGGGTTACGCGTTGTTATTCCCCGGCTTCCTCTGCGCCCAGGCCACGTGCGTCACCAGCGACACTCAAACTCACTGAGCACTCGCCCTGCATCAAGTCCAGCCAGTGCTCTGGAGGGCTTTAAAACCACGTCTCAGTCAGTATATTCTGAATCCCCATTTGGAAGATGAGGAAACGGAGGCCCAGAGAGGTGGAGCAACTTGCCCCAGGATCCACAGCTGGCGGCTTTAGGAGTCAGCATTGGAACCCAGATCTGGTTGCAGAACCGAACGCATCTTTCAGTGCACTACCCAAGGGCTGGAACGGTGCGCCTGATAGGATCCCTGTGCTTCTGCTCGGCGCCTTCATCCCTTCTCCTCCTCCACTCTCTCCCTCCCACTAACTAGGCGAAGAAAACACGCCCCCTTTAGCACCAGGTGATGCTTAACCTGATAGAGACTCTGAAAGTTATTGTGCTAAATATCTAACGGATTTGTTCTCCACTAGGAGAGTGATTGTTTAGTTTCCTGCTTGGGGAGATGTTCAGCCAGCCTTAGGGATCCAGTGCCCAGCCCACAGCTGGCTCTCCCTGGGTCCTTGTTAACTGAATGAAGACTGTGTCTCGTTCCTGTAACTTGACCTGCCTGGAGGAAAGAGGACCCGTGTGAGAGTCAGACGCTGCCCTGCTCACTGGCTGTGTGTCTTTGGGTGAATTTCTTACCTTCTCTGGGTTTAGTTTCCTCAGTGGTAAAGAGGTTCCTATTTCACACAGCTTTTGTGAGATCACAGGAGGTAAAGCACCTGGCTTTCCCTTCCCCTCCATCATGATAATGGCAACCTCACAAGATTGGCGGGAGACTCCATGTAAATGCTTTGCAGGTGTTCACTGTGTGCTGAGCAATTGGCTGAGTTCTTTGAGAGAAATGGTCTCTTGTCTCCCTTCCAGGCTGCCCTCCTCCGAGCTGTGTCGCGGTTGCCAGGGCCGGCTGTGTGGAGAAAGGCCTCTCTACGGGCTGCAGTGCTGCAATGGGCAGGATTTTAGGAGGTGGGTGGGGAGCAGGTCACCCACCTCGAAGGAGAAACCACCAGGCACAGAGACAGAGAAATTCCAGATGATCTACCGGTTCGATGCCATCAGAGCCTTTGGGTACGTGTCTAAGCTGAAGGTGGCACAGACAGCCCTGACGGTGCTGGCCCTGCCGCCTGGCTTTTACTGGTACTCCCAGGGCCTCCTGACTTTCGACAACCTGTGTCTCATGGGTGGGATCGCTGGCTTCGCCCTGGCCATGCTGTACTGGATGAGCTATTTCTTCCGGAGGCTGGTGGGCATCCTGTACGTGAACGAGTCAGGCACCATGCTGCGGGTGGCCCACCTGACCTTCTGGGGCTGGCGGCAGGACACCTACTGCCCGGTGGCCGAAGTGATACCTATGACAGAAACCCAGGACCGGCCCCAGGAGATTTTCGTGCGGATCCAGCAGTACAGTGGGAAGCAGACCTTCTACCTCACCCTGCGCTATGGACGCATCCTGGACAGAGCGCGTTTCACACAGGTGTTTGGGATGCTGGACACGCTCAAGTGAACGGTTGACGGCTGGGCTCCTGAGTTGCCCTGGGCCACCTGGATCTCCGACCGAAGGCTGAGCATGTGGGTGAGGCTAAAGAAGGGGATCTGACAGCTGGAGACTTTGCCAGGCCCCCTGGGAAGCTTGACTGTTGGGATGAAGAAATTCATGAGGCGGATGCTAATAACCCAGCTTAGGAAAGAGGCCTTAGTGCAAATTCTTACCACACTTGTGCATGACATTCAGTTGGATAATGGCCAGAAGAGTCTGTTAAGAGCCAGTTCTTGGAAGAAGCTCTGCCCAGTTCACTCTACACACAGTGCTGTGAATTGGGGAGATGGTGTGGCAGGGGGAACACTGGATTTGGGGTCAGAAGACTTAACTCCCTGTCCTGGGTCAGGTAACTGAGTCTCTCTGGGCCTTGTTTTTCACATTTGTAACATGGAAAATCCTGCCTGTCTCATTGGGTGGGTGTGAGAATAAACAATAAATGTCAACTACGTTGCAAACTCAACAGGCAAGAGCAAACATTAAGTGTTAGTTCAGAGGTGATGGCTTGGTGGTCCCAGCAGCAGATGGGACTGGGGTGAAGCCTTGATGTGGGTCATTTTGTTCTGCCGGGTGGTAACTGCACACCTGGGGTGGGAGTGTCATCCAAGCAAGCACAGCACACCTGCCAACACTCTTCCCTACCCAGAGGGCTAGGCTCTCACCTCAGATGCCTCTGTGGACTTCTTGTTCCTGGGCCAATTTTTTGCCTGAAAAATAAGTTCCCTGTGCAGGATCACCTGGAGAGATTTTTAAAGATATTGTTACCCAGGCCCATGACCAGGCCCATGACCAGGTCCCCCAGGTGGTTCTCATGCAGCCTGGGTTGACAGTCACTGCCTGGGGTCCCACCACACTGGGAGGTGAGAGCCCGGATTCTCACCAGCCTGGGCATGAAAGAACTTTCACTTCGGTGCCTGGTCCGCTCACACAGTACCAGCAGAGGGCACACAGAGCAAAAGCATTACCCTTGCCTTTACTCCTGACCTAAAACCACAGATCACGTGACAATGGGAATTGGGTTAGGACTTCTACTACACCTGTAGGGCAGCACCTAGGAGCTGTCCAAGAAAACCCCAAATCACCATCAACTAAGACAGCAAAACTCACCTGTGCTCAACCCTTGTAGGTTCTGGTAGAAGCTGGATACATGCATTTTTATGCTTCCCAGGTAATTCCAAGGCACCCCACGTTCTGAAAATTATTGTATGGGGTTTACCCTTCTCCAAAACTGTGCAGCAGCCCTAACTGGTTTGGCTCAGTGGATAGAGCATCAGCCTGCGGACTGAAAGGTCCCAGGTTTGATTCTGGTCAAGGGCATGTACCTTGGTTGCGGGCACATCCCCAGTAGGGAGTGTGCAGGAGGCAGCTGATCGATGTTTCTCACTCTCTATCCCTCTCCCTCTCCCTTCCTCTCTGTAAAAAAAAAAAAAATCAATAAAATATATTTTAAAAACAACAACAACAAAAAACCTGTGCAGCAGCTTCTCAGAAAAGGGAAGTGGGCTTTAGATTCAGGTGGTGGCTATACTGGTGATTACCCTCTTTGACAATAATTCCAAAATAGTAATCTAATAGAAATACCCGCTGAAACTGGTTTGGCTCAGTGGATAGAGCATCGGCCTGTGGACTGAAAGGTCCCAGGTTCGATTCCAGTCAAGGGCATGTACCTGAGTTGCGGGCACATCCCCAGTAGGAGATGTGCAGGAGGCAGCTGATCGATGTTTCTCTCTCTGATGTTTCTAACTATCTCTCTCCCTTCCTCTCTGTAAAAAATCAATAAAAATATATTTAAAAAAAAAAAAAAGAACCAAGCATACGTATGAGGATGTTCACTGAATGTTTCTAATAGCAAAACAGACAAAACCATAGCACCAGCAAAAACTGGAAGTAAGGTAAATTTCCATTAGTAGGCAACAAGGTTAAATAAATGTTGGTAAACTGTAATTGAAAAATAAAATTAAAAAAAAAAGTTGGTAGATCTATACTATGGGATGTTACATGGTCCTTCAAAGGAGTGAGGTGGAGCCCTGGTCTGTTGTGGCTTGGTTGGAGCGTCACCTGTACACCAAAAGGTGGGTTTGATTCCCAGTCAGGGCACATACCCAGGTTGGGGGTTCAGTCCCCTGTTGGGGCATGTGTGGGAGGCAACTAATTGATGTTTCTCTCTGCCTTCCTCTAAATTTAAAAAAAAGTGAGGTTGAACTACTAGTATATCTGCTGATGTGGAAAGGTAACCATGGGGTAGCATTACATGGAAAAAATAAGTCACAGAACAATGTAGTTTTATGTGGCCATATTTGTGTTAAAAAATGCAAGCATTCCACATTGTTAACAGTGATTACCTCTGGGGAGAGGATAGGGAGTGGGAGGGAGGGGGTGAAACGAAGGAAAGACTTCCACTTTCAACTGTATAACCTACTATTTAAATGTTCCTAATGAGCACGCCATCTGTCTTAATAAAGAAAAAATGCTGTGATAAACACAGTCTTTTCTTCCATCCCTCCTCACGTCAGCTTTCTAGGTAGGAAAGTTTCTCAACCATGAATTCCCACCCTGGACTTGAGGGCTGAGCTGATTGTAGGAAACAGTCACTCATTGACAGTGTCAGTGGGCCGTGCCTGTGTTTGTCCCTCGTAGCCTGGCTTTCCTTCCTGTCAGCTGAGAACCGTGTGGACTTTGTGCCCCTCCATCCAACCCCTGGGCTGTACTAGTATATAATTTAGACGCAGGGAATGGGTGGTCTGTAGCATGTACGTTTTCATATGGTAGTTGCTATGGACTGAGTTGTCCCTAAAATTGATATGTTGAAACCATAACCCCCAGTGTGATGGTGTTCGGAGCTGGGGCCTTTGGGAGGTGACTAGGGCTAGATGAGGTCTTGAGGGTGGGGCCCTCATGATGGGGTTAATGTCCTGATAAGAAGGGGACTAGACTGCACTAAGGAAGGCCATAACCAGGAAGAATGCCTTCAGCAAGAATCTGACCATGGCCCTGGCCGGTTTGGCTCAGTGGATAGGGTGTCGGCCTGCAGACTGAAGGGTCCCAGGTTTGATTTCGGTCAAGGGCACATGCCTGGGTTGCAGGCTCGATCCCCAGTAGGGGGCATGCAGGAGGCAGCCGATCAATGATTCTCTCTCATCATTGATGTTTCTCCCTTTTCCTTCCTCTCTGAAATCAATAAAAATATATTTAAAAAAAGAATCATAAAAAAAAAAGAATCTGAACATGGACCTCCAGCCCCCAGAATGTGAGAAGACAATGTTTGCTGTTTAGGCCATCCAGGTATAGCAGCCGAGCTGACTAAGACAGGGTCCTCCAGACCTGGGTGGGGTCGGCTCTAGCAGGGATGTTCACATTGTGCACAGCTGAGAGCTGTAGTCCAAGAATGAGACCTTGTTGTAGGGCCAGAGGGCCCTCCCTGGCCCATCGTTAAATGACCATGTTTAATGCACCCCCAGAGCAGACCAGGGGTGCTTAGTGCTCACGGGCCAGCCTGCGGTGAATTGCCCAAATAACTAAGTTTGGAACTTTTTTTTGCTGCTTTATGACTTCAGGACTTGAGTCCCCAAATGGAAAGCAAAGTCCCCTTTGACCCCCAGGCAGAGTCCAACTTTTATGGCCTTGTTTGGATCCTGCAGCATTCAACTATAAAATCTTGCCTGATGAGAGTTAACCAAGCAGGGCCGATACCATCTGGCCTTGTTTGTACCAACTCCAGTGACAAAACATCCGTTTTACTTATTAACAGTTGGAATGTATTCCAGGATTTGGTTGAGTTTACCTGTGTTGGGAAGTAGATTTAATATTTACAAATAAGGAACTTAACTCGGACAGGAGTACGTTGTTTGGAGCCCTGTGCACGACACTATTTACAGAGACGAAATGGCGAAAGGAAGTACCATGTATTAAGCACCTACTCTATGCCAGGCGATTATCACACGGTTTTATTTAATCCTCCCAGCAACTGCTCAAGTTGGAGAGCCAGAGAGAGGCAGTAGATTTAGGGTGAAGCGTGTGGCTTTGAAGCAAGACGTCTTGCCTGCTTGAATCCCAGTCCAGGTGCTTTCTAGCTGTGACCTGGGGCCAGTTCCACAGTCTCTCTTTGTGCCTTGGTTTCTTTACTATGAAGCAATGATAATAAAAGCGCTCACTTACCGTAGGGTGGTTGAAGAGACTGGCTTATTACATGAAAAGCACTTAAAATAGCTGTTGGTCCAAGGAAGTGCGCGGTCAGTGTTAGCTGGCATTACGGTTACCAACCTCTACTTGCAGATGAGGCTCTGAGAGGTGAAATGACTTGGTCAAGGTCACCCCCGCTAGAGAGCAGCAGGGTTGGGTCATTCTACTGCCTGTCCTGCCTCCCCAGTGGGGAAGAAGTATAGAAAATAGAAAACAGATAGTATTTGACCTTGAGGTCCTGCCACCTTCCACCCACCTGCCTTAGGGACTGTATTAGGTTTAGGATCTCACACCAGGCTGACCAGTTCAAGTTCATGCTCCAAGGCCGGTGGTCAGAGCAGCTGTGAGAAAGGCCATTGGGTCCTTGGTAGTCCCTATCCTCCACCAATCCCAGGCTGACTGCGTGCGTGTACACACAAACACACATACTTGATTGCACACGTCATCTTTCATACATCTGTGTGTATCCTGGCTCCCAAGCTGTGTGATGTTGGGTAGGCTCCCCTAACCTCTCTGAGCTTCCGTTTCCTCATATTAAAAGTAGGCACATAAATACACAGCTCGTGGGTTTGTTGTGAAAATTATAAAGCCAGAATATGCTTGCACATTGCAGATGTTCAACAAATGATACTTATCACTATGTATTTCGAAAATATACTTAATGGTAGATACTGCCTTCCAAGTCAATTGTTTCATAGACGTGTCAGATGTCCGAGCTGAGGGAAACCTTGGAAATCATGTGGTCCAAGCCATGCAATTTACAGGTGAGAAAAAGAAGGGCGATGGAGGGCCACTGAGACAGCTGGGAGCGGAAGAGAGACAGCCCACCCTCCCTGCCTCCAGGTCAGGACACCAGGAGGGTGAAGATCCAGCTCACAGGTGCTTCCTAAGCCTCCCTCTTGGCCTCCCATCGATTCCAGTCAGTCATCAGCTTAACCCCCAATCGGCCTGGAGAGAATCGGATGTATTTGGTCGGGGGTGGGGGGGGGGGCAAGCATTAGGGTTGTGTGAAAAGCTCTTTAGGGTGACTCTAAAGTGCATCCAGTGTTGAGAGTCACTGTCCTGTGGATTCTGTGCTTCTCTCTCCCCCTCCATCCATCCCATTATTATCCTATTAGACCACCAGGTCCTCTTGATTGTGACAGGGCCCTGGCCAGTCTCCCCACCCTGTCTGTCACGGTGAACACGCAGGAAAGTCTTCCTAAAATGCACGTTGGAATATCCCCCTGCTCCAGACCTGCGTGGAAGGCCCCGCCCCTCAGCACAGCACAGAGGCCCTCTGGTCTGGGCCTTGCCCATTCTCTGGCCTCGTCTCTGGACTGTCCTGCATCCCTCCCTTTGTGATCCGGTGATGCTGCACAACACAGAAGCGCCTCTGCCTCACCCTACCTTTGTGCCTGCAGTGAGCTATTCTCTGGAATGCTTCCTCCTCTGAGTCCTGGAGCAGTTCCTGCTCAGCCTTGAAGAGGAAGCTCAGGAGCCCCGATTCCACCCCAACTTAGGGTCTGTCCTTTGTGCGTGGACAGCATCTAGGGCAGGGGTGGGCAAACTTTTTTACTCGAGGGCCACAATGGGTTCTTAAACTGGACCGGAGGGCCGGAACAAAAGCATGGATGGAGTGTTTGTGTGAACTAATATAAATTCAAAGTAAACATCATTACATAAAAGGGTATGGTCTTTTTTTTTTTTTTTTTTAGTTTTATTCATTTCAAACGGGCCGTAGTTTGCCCACGGCTGATCTAGGGTCTTCCTGTACCCCAGTCCTTACACTGGGTTGCTGTGACCTTTGCCCCACTAGAAGGTGAGCTGAGGGTAAGGACCACACCTTGTCCATCCCTATCGCCTGGTCTGTCCTTGATGGACCCTGACATTAATGGCCTCACAGTGCTTCCCAAATCCAATGCAGACTTATACAGTAGAATGTTCTCTGAGAGGTATATAATAGGTGCTTAGTAAGTACTTGCCAAGCCCTGGCCAGCGTGGTTCATTTGGCTGGAGCGTTGTCCCGTGCACCAGAGGCTCACAAGTTTGATTTCCAGTCAGGGCACATACCCAGGTTTCAATTTCAGTCCCCAGCTGGAGCACATGTGGGAGGCAACTGATCAATGTTTCTCTCTCACATTGATGTGTTTCTCTCCCTCTCTCCCTTAAATCATTTTTTTAAAAAAGTACTTGCCAAATAATTACTTGAAACCATTTCCAAACAAAAAGGCCACATTTACTCTGATGTTTCCATTATAAATATATTTTTTTAAATTTAACAAGACTGATTAACACAGGAAACATTTAATGAATGGAATTGTGCATATGGTCATCAGTTACATTGTGACATGTTAATTTCTTTATCATTTATTGGCACTGTCAACAGAATACTGTAAACAAGATCACTTTGTATGCGCAGGTCGGCGATGCTCCCTAGCTATGGTACCATGAGCTAATAGATAGATAGATAGCTACGTATAGATATACTAAATGTGCACAATTTTGCATGGTTACTGAGTGTCAGTAAAAATTATAAAAAAATGCCCATTTATAATAAAAAGGAGGATGTACTAAGACTTGCTATTACTGGACCTTGTTTTCTGTAAAAGTGACGAGATTTGCTAGGGACACTTACTAAACTCTATGGCACTGATGTAAGATGGACCCTTTCCAGCCCCTCAGCCACAGAAGTCCTTCTCCCTGGGCCCTGCCCTACCTGGAAACCTGTCCACTGCACCCCCACCCTGAGTTTTCACAACCTCCCCCACGTTCCTACCATCTCGGGCTCTGCCGGGAATTCTTTTCCTTGAAATCCTTCCACCCATCTCCCCACCCCCAAAAGCAGATGTCTCCGGAACTCTTTAGGCCCTGAGCCAACAAGAACTCGATAAATGGCTTAAAAAGTTTTATGAGAATAACTTCCCTTGGTAAGAGGTGGATAAGTCTGGAAATGACTTTCTAGATAAAGTGGTTTCATTTTTCTGTCAATGCCCTCTAGGAAGAGAACATAATACTGAAGCCACTCTCTCCACCAAGGAGAGGCAAGTTTCTGACTGTGCCTTAGCTCAAAAACCTTCTGGACTCCGGGAATCTTATTGTAGGTTTGCATCCAGTGCTGAAGTTCTCAGGACAAATCACACTCGTGCCAAAAAATGAATTGTGGTTTGGTATGCATTTTTCTTGTTCAGTAAGGTCTTGAATCCTGGGCTGCTGCCTGTGGAATCTGGATCCCCAGTGAAAGGTGTGGGACTGTGAACTGGTAGGTCTCTGCACATGCTGTTCCCTTTCTGCAACACTGTTCCTTGCCTTGCTTTTTGGTGAACTCCTGCTCACTCTGCAAAACCCTGCTCAAACATTACTTTCTCCTTGAAACCTCTGCTGACCCTTAGACGGACTGGGGCACTCCCTTCAATTTCTAGATGCTCCTCTATATACCTCTGTTACAGCACTTGCCACTCAGCTTTAATTACCGGTTTAAGAGTCTGTTTTCCACTATGGGATGTGAGTCCCCTAAGGGCCGGGACCATGCTTTATTTGTAATCCTAGTAGTTAGAACTGGGCCTGGGACAGAGCAGGTATTTAATGCAAGTTTCATGAATGAATGATTGAATAAACAAATATACAAACGAGTGAAACCTCACAGAGGGGGGTGGGCATACATCTCCATTTAGCCGGCAGCGTAAATGGCCTTAAACACGGCAGAACTCCTTCTTTAAAGCAATGGATTAGCACTAACTGCAAGAATTCGAAGTGAACCGGAACTCACGGGTCTGTCGTGTCTGTAAGACAGTCGCTGACCAAGTCTCCGGATGGTTAGCTATTAGAAGAGCAAAGTGCTGAGAGGAGAACCTGGCTATGCCTGTCTTCCCAAACCATCGGGGACAAGTGGCTTCCTTTGGGACAGAGGATACAAGGCAGACTGTCTCCCTCTCCCCACGAGACCGCCCTTCATTGCTCTAGGACCACCGGGTGCTCTTTATAGGCGCCGGTGAGCTCAGTTCCCAGAATGCCTAGCCTCAGCGGAGTCCCCTGAGCCCCAGCCACAGTGCAGTCAAGCCTTTAGGACCATGTGCCTGGGACTCCACACGTGTCAGGAAAACCCTGGTTTGGAGGGGGAGGGACAAGGACACCGCCTGAACCACAGCCTGTTTCCCTGTGCAGAGCTCTGGCGCCTTGGGTTCATGGTGCTCCCCTCGAGAAGAAACCTACTTGAGCAACGGGCTGCCTGTGTCGCAACTGCCAGTGGAGCAAAGGTGGATGAGCCAAAGCAAGAGAGCCTCCAGGGTGAGGGTCCAAAAGGCAGCCGCCCCCGGGGCCTGGGAGACAGGAGGCAGTGCCTTGCCCCAGGCCCTGGGCTCCGGTTCCTGGAGACTGGCTGGTGCTTCTGCCCTGGCAGCTCATGGGTGTCCCGGGGTGCCCCCTGCTCAGGCTGCAGGTTTGTTTCCTGGGGCCTCGGTTCACATTTAACAGGGGGAAGAGCTTGGGGAAATGAAGGAAGCAAGTAAGGACGGACCATCCAGGATGCCACCCGGGGAGTCGCCAAAGCCCCACCCAGGACAGGAATCCACAGATGCCCTGGGAGGAGTGGCCCAAAGCTGCAGAGGCCGGAAGGCCCCTCCCCACCCCCCTGGCTCAGTCCTCATGTCCCTACAATCCTGCCTTCACATGACTGTCCTGTCCTCCACTGAAGTGTGCCAGCCTCGCTCAGGGCTCCAGGGGTTGGGTGAGGGGCAAGCATGTTTGTTGCACAGGGTGAGGGAGCAGCGTCCTTGATCACAGAATATGGCACTTGAGAGGGACCGGAACCCAGGAGTCCCAGCCACCAGTCCCTGGAGCATCCCCTGACTGGCTTCAAAGACGTTGTTGGGGTCAAGGGTGGGCAAATACATGGCCAGGACCCTCACGGCCCTTCCTAAGACTCTGTCCGGGGCTCAAGCAGAATTTCTGGGCTTAATCCGATGGGCACCCTTGGCTCTGCAGGGAGGAAAACCAAAACCTGTCCCTCCATCCTCTCCCCTCCCCCCAGCCACCAAAACCGTCCCCTCCCACACACCACCCTTCAGCTTATGCATTCACCTCGGATACTTTAAGTGAAAACATGAATTAGGCAAACTAATCAATTTGACAACTGCTGAGATCAGGGCTTTCTCAGAGCATCGTGGAAATGGCTTCTTTACTTGAAGTCGGCTAAGATGTCGCTGAAAATATTGAGGAACAGGTGTGCGTGGTGATCCCTGAAGACCAGAGTGGGACGGAAGCGGATGGATTTGTCACCACAGCCTCCCAACACCACACCTGAAAGAAATGGCAGGAGGTCGGTTAGGAGCTTGGGCTCAGAGTCCCCAGCTGTGAGAGCCAGGAGGGTGCTTGCTTACACACAGGGAACCCCCAAGCCATTCTTTCCATCCGGGCTTCCGTCTACCCTTCCGTCCATGCACTCATCCATCTTTACTCCCTTTCTCTCTTCCTTCATCCATCCCATCCATCCTCCCTCCCTCCCTCCCTCCCTCCCTC